GCTCCTTCCAGTTAATATCTCTATCTATTGTTACGCCTAAAAACCTTGTATGTGTTACCTCTTTTAGTTTATCTATATTAAGTAGTACATTATTTTTATTATTATTCGATCGATTAAATTGAATATAAACGGATTTATCTAAATTTATTTTTAAATTATTCATGTCAAGCCAAAGCAGTAATTTGTCTATTGTATTATTAATGTCAAACTCATGGTCCGTCTTGTTTTTCTTTTTATCTTTTTATCTGATGATGGATATGTCGTCAGCAAATAGTATGCATTTATATTCGGTTATTTTTATTATGTCATTAATATATAGAAGAAACAATATCGGACCCAGAACACTTCCTTGCGGGACGCCACACTTATTTTGCCTATATTCTGACGAGAACGGTATCATATCTCTATTATTGTTTATTTTACTAATAATGACACGTTGTTGTCTCTCGTCTAAATATGACGATATCCAGTGGAGTGCAGGTCCTCTAATTCCAATAGTCTCTAGTTTGTCCAACAATGTGCTGTGCGACACGAGATCGAAAGCCTTAGATAAATCAAAAAAAAGTCCAGTAGTCAGATGATTATTATTTATATTTGTGAGTATTGTCTTCATAAGAGAGAAAATAGCTAATGATGTGGATTTATTTTTTTGGAACCCAAACTGTTCAGAACTTATTATTTGAAATTTATTACAAAAATCAATAAGCCTTTTATACATACATTTTTCATAAATTTTAGAAAAAATTGGAATTAACGTAATTGGACGGTAATTATTAATATCACTTTTATCTCCTTTTTTGTATAATGGCTTAACAATAGATAATTTTAACCTATCGGGAAATGTTCCTGTTGTAAATGACATGTTTATTAGGTAAGTTAAAATATCAGTCAATTCATCACAGCAAGATTTTACAATTTTAGTACTAGTTTCGTCATAGCCCTCTGATCTAGTGTTGGACAGGAACATTATTTCATGGCGCACTTCGTTTTCTGACATTGGTATAAGAAACATTGAGTTGACAGATATATTTTGCCTATAATTTTGAACCGCTCGAGCTTGCGTTAATGCATTAGTTAGATTAACGTAATGATTATTGAACGCAGTAGCTATTTCTATAGGGTCTGTAACTACAATGTCATCCAATTTAATTGCATCTATGTTATCTTTGAGGGAAGTATTACTTATAACATTTTTAATGACATTCCAAGTGGCCTTACACTTATTGTCTTGTGTTTCTATATATTTTATGTTCGCGATTTTTTTTGAGCTGTAAATACATTTTTTGAGCAAATAAGAATATTTTGTGTATTTTATTCTATTAGAATTATTTTTGTTGTTATAGTATTCGTAACGTAGTTTTCGTTTTGTAATGCAACTTTGTCTAAGACCCCTACTCACCCACTTTTGCGTGTTTTTTGTATTACTGTTGACCCTAACTCTTACTTTAGGAAAACAGAGATTGTAAAAAAGACACCATAGGTCATGAAATTCATTAAAGGCAGGGTTTAAATCTTTATTCATATATACATCAGACCAGTAGAGACTCTGTAAGCATTCCCGGAATTTCCGGATATTATTTAGGTTGCAATCTCTTCTATAAACGTAATAAATTGATGCCTTTTTTGGTACACTTTCAGTAGGAAAGCTAAGCATTTGTGCTGTGTCATGATCCGAGAGATGCAAAGGTAGTACAGTTGGGGTAGCATTGGGAATGTTGCTCAGAATATGATCAATACAGGCCAATTTACGTGTAGGAATATTTATGTGGATTTTTAAATTATAATTACTGCATAAGTCTTCTAACTGATTAGTGATATTCCCTTTTTTTAGTGTATTTATATTCAAATCACCAGCTATAACTAAATTAACTTTAGATTTGTATTTATTTATTAAATCGTGCAAGAGTTTGTGTAGTTTCAATAAAAACTGAGTTGGATCAGATTGAGGCGTACGATAAACACATATTATAACTAATTTACCGCCCATTAATTCTATGCCGCATGCTTCAAACGTATTTTGAGTTGCATAGTTTTTAACCAATAACAATTCTTTACAATTTAGTTCTTTTCTTACTAATATACAGGTGCCACCCCTTTGCCGTTCTCTACAAAAGTTTGCAACCATAACATAACCATATATTTTTACGTAATTTTCATAACCCTTTTTTACAAAAGTTTCAGAAAGACATATTACATTTGGATCATTATTTTCGTCCATTAGTTCTTGTATGGTTAGTTCCAGTAGTTCTTGTTTGGATAGAACACTGGCGATATTTTGATGAAATATTTTAAAGTGGTGCGTTTTGATGGCTTTAGTTACGAAAAAATGATTCGCACTTATTTAATGCAGGAAAATAATACGGTATAGTTCCTTTCCGAATATTTGCATTGGGTTGCATGAGGTTATTGTTTTTAGGACCCCTAACAGTTTCAATCTGACTTTGTTTCGTGAAGTAGTAGGGAATTGTCCCTTTCTTTGGTTCAATGTTCAATTTAACACTAGACTTGCCACTTGCTATTCTCTTTCGAATTTCGCTCGGGTTTAGATATTTATATTCATAGTCACTATAATCTATTACAAAATTAATTGACCTACAAATATCAGACAATTTGGTGCTTATTTGGTTTACAAAGTGACATTTTTTATACTTACTACATAATTTATTTATAGAATTGTTTATTTTATTGACATTCAGGAAAACATTATTTACGACATTTAATACAATTATAATGTTATTACTAAATATATCCAATATTTCTCTCAATTGGGACAAAATAATACTTATGTTATGGTCATTTTCACCTATACAAATTACAACTTTATCATCTGTTGTTAGTTTTACATTTCTACAGTTGGATAATACTTCGCTACATGGTGCATTCGGTTTAGTTAGAGCAAAGAGTTGATACTTTTCATATTGTGTATTTGCCCTTGAATGGGACAAGGCTGCAGCCAACCCGACGCAACGTTGAGTACCGATAATATGTATTTTTTTTCCGGAAACTACAGTTTGCCTTTGCTTGCCACTGCAGGTTGCAATACAATCCGGATTCCGTTCCGTTTCTTGAATGCGGAGATCGCATGTGTTTTGACTTTGCATCAATATTGTAATACGTTCAGTGAGAGCTGAAATTTCCCCCTCAGCGGTCTGTAATAGCTGTTGTAGGTTTAGGATTTCCTGTTGCAGGCGCAATACATTTACGTGATCAGTAACCTCCACGTTCAAAGTGGATGGCGATGGAGACGATGGCGTAGAATGCACGTAGTGTGGTTGTGACAGAGCGTGCTTCGTTTTCTTAGAGCTCGTACCCGGATATCCGAATATAGATGAAGAATGACACAAGGATTTCAGAGTATCATTTTCTGTGCATAACTTTTTTATTTGTTTATGTAGTTCGGTATTTTCTAGCAATATGTTACCTAGTTCATTTTCTGTACTTTCCAGCTGAAGTGTAAGTTGAGCTATAGTTTCCTTCATTTCCGAGACGGAGACCAAGTCTGTTACAGTTCTGTCTACACTTCTCGATAGTCTATTAGAAGTGGTATACGATTCATCATATGATTCGCAGTCAGTGAGTATATGAGAGTCAAATAATTTTGCATCACTTTGAGTTGCAGACAGACGTTTCGACGTATTATCAGCAGAACCTTTCTTTGTGTTTGATATTTTTTTTATTGGTGACGGGCTTTTAATACAATTCTGCCTCTTCCTTACGGTAATGTTGGAAACTCCCTCGTTAATAGCATATTTTTTATTTCTAATACATAACTTGCATCTCCATTTTTTTTTTGCTTCTGGGTCTTTGAGTCGGTATGTAGGTTCTGGATAACCATCGCAATCAAACTCATATCTGTTTTCACATGCGGAACACAAAGCGGTACTTTTTATATTCACGTCTTTTTTACATTTATGACACCTTACTAGTGATGCCATCTTGTGTACGTTTTTTCTATTATTGTAGGCTTATAACTAGACACCCCACATTTAATCGATGGAACCGGGAGAAACAATATTTATGTGATTCCAAATATCATAACATCAATAATCAATGAATAAATACAATTTATAAATTACAAAAAGAGAAATCCGTTTGGCCGAGATTCGAACTCGAGGTTCGTCGGTCAAAATGGTATAGGCCTGGGCCGCTACGCCACACGAGTCGTTAGGGAAGCAATTGAAATATGTGACCTAATTGACTGTTTCTATAGAAAACATTATGACACAAATATGTATGATACCTTTATGATAGTTTTTTAGGTATACCGTCAACACTTTTTTTTTTTGTTATCACTAGATATTTTACTGAGCTTTTATATGCACTGAGGTGAATCTCACTTTGGCAATTATATGCAGTTATACAAAATACTCGATCACTTTTGTTCTATTGATTTATGTTCTAATACTTTTATTGATACTGTCACTGTTACACTGTTTATATTTTTAAGTTTTGACACACTGGTAATTTTGGTATTTTCAATGCATTTTTCCTGGTTTGTTTACTTAGATAACACTATCACTTGTTACTTATAATAAATTGAGAATGTTTTATTACTTATTTGTTGTTTTCGTAGGTTATTACTATTTTTAATTATTTAAATACACGGTGCTATTTGTTGTTCGTGGCTAGTGTTGCCATCCTCCGTGTAGTTCTTTAATAGACCTAATGCTCATGTCATTGTGGTACACACTTTAGGAACTTGCCATAATCAGGTTACACACAAGGACAATACAACACATAGGAGACCACAAGTTGGGCACGAATCTTTATGTCATAGTCGTTATTTTTAAACGAAAATTCTTATAATGAATCTACAACCGTAAATAATCCTGGCGAAATTTTGATTTGCTTCGTCTCTAGCTACTGCTAAGGTTATCATAACGGGATCGTCACCTTTGGGAGTACCCAGAGTACCTACCCAAAGGTGGCGATAACGCTAGTCTATTTTCGGTTAGCTTACTACTTCCTACATATGTACCTAACCTATTCGTCTTTTACAGAATCACAATGAATGATCCAGAACTGTATAACGTGGCTAATTCTATGCAAAAGAATGCAGCAGTCCAATGTCTTAATGAATATGCAAAGAAAATTAACTGGAAAAACATTGGAGACAGCGCTATTGACCTAGGTTGTGGTGATGGCAGTGTCACTGTTATCTTAAAGAAATACATGCCTAGTAACTATAAGAAGTTGGTCGCGTGTGACATAAGTGAAAAAGCTGTCAAATATGCAAATGAACATCACAGTGATGAAGTCACCATGTTCAAAGTGATGGACATCCAAGGAGACCTGCCTGAAGAAATGCATTCAGCATTCCATCACGTGTTCTCTTTTTATGCGTTGCACTGGATACGAAATCAAGAGTAAGTTTTTAGTCTGCTTTAATCCAAAGTCAAAGTCAAAATCGTTTATTTCATTTAGACCAGGAAGGCACTTTTGAACGTCATAACAAAATATTTAAATATTGAAGAAAAAAATTCAGTCGGTCGGTCAGTCCTCTGTAAAGCTATTTGCTCGTTCCAAAATGTAGATTCCTATGGAAAAGAATGAGCAAGAAACTCTTTATCAATCAGGTTCACAATACAATTCTTGATTAGATTGTTTCGTTGGTTCAATTATGTGACAACAATGTAACAAAAATATTCAATCAAGGAGAAGGAAGAAGAAAATAACCTTGAGAACAACAAATTTAATGCAGTCTGGAGCTGACCAGTACCAGTAGACAGCGCCCGTTCACGAACATGACACGTACACCAGCACCGCTTAACTCAACCATATTATAGGGAATCGATCGATCGAGTGATCCACTGCCTGTGCCACTGCCAATGAGACTTTTGACTGAACATGACAACTCCAAGCTGACACAAATGCATTTATGAATATGCAGATATTGATATATCATCATCGACTTTTTTGAAACTTCTCAGAAATACTGAAAACAAACCATCTCCTACTACCACTCATACGGGTACTCATTTAACAAAATTTAAAAATGATTTGCCTAAAAATATGTTTGTTCATTTTAATTCCGAACTCTCGCTATTTCGGTACTCTTCGCTATTTCGGTATTATGATGCTCACTAATTTTTATATTGAATATAATATTCTATGTTTCAGAAAAGCATTTAGAAATATCTACAACCTTCTAGAAGAAGGCGGCGACTGTCTCCTCACCTTCCTTGGCTACGCTCCGCTATACAGCGTTTATAGTATACTGTCACAGTGCTCCAAATGGGAATCTTGGTTGAAAGACGTCCAAAAGTTCATTTCACCATATCATGATATGCAGGTACTGCCATTTATTTCTTACTGAATACGTAAGAAATCTCTAAAGATGTCAGAAAGATCATGAACCATTACTTATATAATTAGCGCAATAAATTATGATAATACATGAAAACAAAGGGGGGAAATTCAATTGTTATCGTATTTTAATCACTCGATCCTACAATGAGTACTAAAATTGTCAAAAAAATGAAGTATAATAAATGTACGTAGTGACGCAGTTTAGACGTAAGCCGACAAAATTAACACATAATATTACATGCGAATTGTTCGCAACAATATAATCGTCAATTTAAACGTTAAAGGATTACACGTGACCACTCACAATGACTAGTATCTCAAAATCCTATCAGTACTCATCTAGACGATACATTGTTGCAAACCTAATAGAATCTGAATCTACTTCCTGATTACGTAAACAACTTTTCTAGACAGAAGAACGAAGTACAATGCTATCACTATTTCTAACATAAATATTTCATCTTATATTTCAGCAACCAGAAAAAAAAGTCACCCAAATGATGCAAGAAATCGGTTTCAGAAACATCGATGTGAAATGCAAAGAAATGCGTTTTGAATTTGACAGTGTTGAAGCTATGAAAAGTAAGCACCTTGTATTTTAACGACTGTAGGAAGGGTATTATTTTTTATTGCAAAAGCTACTAATTTTATATTATGGTTATGCATATTCCTTGTTTCTCTTTTCAGATACCATAAAAGCTATCGAACCTTTCGACATGCCGAAAGATGTGTATGAAGAGTTCATGCAAGATTACTACTCGGTGGCCCAAGATATCGGTGTCGTAGAAATAAATAACAATAACATCGGAGACACCTCAATCAATTGCTCCTATTCTCTGCTAGTCGTCTGCGCAAGCAAATGATTAGAGATCACCAAAATTAACCATAAAATTAAGTCAAACCATAGTGAAATTATTCTGGCAAATCCGCCTAAGATCTGATTACTAGAACCGCCTATTTTGTACTATCCTCCTAGTTTTAAATGTAATTAAGAACTATATTCAAAAATAATATTAGCCAATGATTATTTAGATAAATCAGATTATTAATAAAAATAGGTTATTTCGCAATAAATAGTGATGTTTTTCTTTGGTATCCAAAGAATTAAAGTTTAGTATTTTGAAATTCTTTACAACAGTTTCAATAGTTTTCCGGGGTCAAGAGGAGCATATCTATTTCAATACAGTGAAATAATAAGCAATTACGTCGTGATCACACAACTAATAAAATCACATCAATGTAACAGTAAAATATCATGTTTATAAGAATGTATCCTATTGATTCCATGCTTACTTATGAAGTAAGAACCCGAAAATAAATATCTTTTTTTCAAAAAAGGGCCAGGGAATGTTACTTTAGGTTCGATGCAAATGCAAGTAATACCTTTAGGTAGAGTTATATCAATACAATTGCATTGAAAAACAAACAAAATAAAGACATGCTTTAGTGTTCTGACAGACGTTCGATATATTTCTGCACATTTTGGATTTTATTCTAAAATTTGCGAATAAGACAATCAAATAATTGTCCTCCATCGTTTTTGTCAAATTAGCTAATCATTTTGCGACTAATTGTTATTTAAGAATACACGATACTAGAAGAGGCTTCATTTAAGTGAGACAACGTTAAGTTAGTAATAATTTATGATATAGATATTTATTAAATTATTTCTAAGATTATTACGAATGTATACTTACTGAATGGCAATAGAGCGATTATTTTATTTATCACACAAAATAAGTTATCATCAACCAATACTTAATTCTGGAGGTTGTTGACTTGTATTGCATTAAATATCACAATAGTTCATTAGTCACCTAGCATTAGACAGAAGTCAAAACAGCATAGTATTGGGACTTAAGCTTATACTTTGTAATAAAAGCACTGATATGATAAAGGTATATATATATATATTGTTTTATTCATATAAAATGAGAAATAGTTTCAAGTTTGATTATAAAGTCGAAAATATGGAGGTCTGTTTTCCGATAGTGTTGAAATTTGTCAATTTTGTAGATTATGATGTGTTTTTTCCGATATACATTTTGCATTCATGGAAAAATCCTATGCATTTAACAAAAAAAAATGTTGTGTACAAAATTAAACTATTCACTTTTTACTACGATATATATCTAGGCAGCTTTTTCTATAAAATAAGTAGATTTGGCGCCAGAGTACCGTAAAGTTTGTCTCAGTGAGCATTTAGGAGGATAATAATTTAAACATCACGTGGAAGATGCGGCGCGTATTTTTAATAGTGTAATCCTTTATAGGCTTTGTGTTCATGTGATTATGATACGCACTATCGAATCGCATATAGCCGATTTCATCTTGGGCACCCATCGATATATCATAGCCGCTTTTTGAATGAAAATGCTTGTAATGAATACGTTAAATGCAAAATCGCATCGCAAATAATCCGGACAAAAATTTCGAATTTTCCACATTCGCGGAAAACCTTCCAGTCAAAACTACCAAATTACTGAACTACACTTTGACAGATCTGAGTTCCTGATTTTTTTTTCTTTAATTACTTCTGAGTCTCCAATATCGTTGTAGATTATAATAACCACTGCCAAAGTGAGGTCTTACTAAGTAAGGTATTTCACATCTATATATTTATAATATCTATGGAAGTATTTCTCATCTATAGATTTACTTATATCAATGCTTATAGACAATACAAGTGGCCGTGACAAAAGCCTAGAAGAAGCAGGGACAAGACCTGTAACGTCTTTCATAATACTACATAATCTTGCAGCATGCATGAAAAGATTGATGACTGTTAATGAAGCGAAAGAGGTATGTAAGAATCGTAGTAATTGGCGTTCCTTAGTCTCTGCCTACCCCCATGGGAGACAGGCGTGAAGTTATGTATGTATGTATGTTATATTTGCATCTATGTTAAAAATATTTTTATTGCCTTGTGTTGTGTATAATTTCTGTGATTTGTGCAGAAGAATCTTGTTGATACATCATTAAATTATCTAATTAATTTACCAATCCGTCTGTTTACTACTTACCTAATAATTATCAAAATCTAGGTTTAGATGATGCTTTACATTGAAACCATTATGTATGAAAATAGTTTGAATTCATTTAAATACAATAAACATTGTGCACTCCTACTTCTATGAACTTCTTTTTTCTAATGCAGATATAATGGTAACTAAAGACTTTTGATGAAAAAGAACTTTGATTGATGTATTGAGTCCGATCATTTAAAAAGTAAGTCCTAGTATAAACTAGCTGTTGCCCGCGACTTCGTCCGCATAGAATATGAATTTTAGAACATAAAAATATTTTGTTACAATTCCAAAATAAAAATAGCCTATTTAACTTAGTACATCAGTTACCTGCCAGTAAAAATGCCTTCAAAATCAATTCAGCCATTCCAAAGATTAGCTAATATATACAGACAGATAATAAATTTAAAAAATGATATTTTGGCATGTGTATCGTATGTATTTTTTTTATGGCATAAGCCGGTTAACGAGCAAACGGATCGCCCATGGTCACCTGGAACTCCAGAGGCGTTACAAGTGCGTTACCGGCCTTTTGGGATTAGGAATTTGAGGATTGTTGGGATTCAAGGATTGATTGGGGAAGGGGGGGGGGGGATTGGGCCTCCGATAACCTCACTCACACGACGAAACACAACGCGAAACACACGTCGGTTTTCTGTGAGGCCGTGGCGGCCGGCCGGCCCATTCGTGCCGAAGCATGGCTCTCCCACACTTGAAATGTATATTCATATGCATGTAGTAAAAGCGGTTATTTTAATATTACTAACAGAGACTCCAATTTTATTTATCTGCATAGATGATATGAATGTTTTGTATAATATTAAGTTCATTTTCTACAAAAATTATTTGTGGTGACCTACAAAAAGTAATCTCACTTATATTATATACCTACTTGCAAACGTGCATGAATCTCAAGTAAAATTAAAATGTGAATTAAACGATTACGTCGCATAGGTACTGACACGATATGTACTTATTTTATGTAACTCACGGTACATAAGTAAGTACCCAAGTACTTATATATTTTATTTTACGAGTACCTTTGGACCATTATTAATAAGGCATTTAATATAAGTTTTATATTGTTATTTTTTACTATTAATAAAAAATATATTTCTGAATAATGTTGTGTTTTGTAATGCTTCTTTTGTAAATCTATGTGTGATGAGTGAGTGTGCGCGTGAGAAACTTATGGTTAAACATGGCACACTTAAACGTGTTAAACTGCAGGAGATTACATTTACTCCAAGCAACTACTCGGTCTATATCGCTCTGCTGCCTTTCACAGTCATTCAGTCATTGTGATGTCCGGTAAAGCTGAAGGTTGTCAACAAACAGTAAGTATTCAGCATCCCTCACAACGTTCGGCAAGTTATTAACCATTAGGAGAAACTCTAGTGGACCTAGGTTTACTCCCGACCTAGCGTTCGATTCACGCCCTGCGCAGGCAACATACTGTTGCCTGGCACTCATATAACTCGCAATAAACTTACGGAAGTGTGAAGTGCAACCCACTGACTGCAGCCAATTTTTTTAACTCAATCGGAGGCTTTTTTTAAATCCAAATATGCAGCATCGATTTGCACCCCACTGTCCACTATTAGTACTACATCTGCCATGTAACAAAGTAGGTTGCTCGTAGTTTTTCTAGTTGGCCGAAATCTGTGGTAGTGCGCTACCCTTGATCTTTAGCAAATTTTACAAAACTTGATCCGCTTGATGTTTTGCAAAGTATGTAATGGTCAAATTGATATTTTTATAGTTGTAGGTATTTAAATAATCTGCATTTCTATATTTAGCTTAATCCTACTAATATTATAAACACGAGAGTAATGCGTCCAAAATAAAATAATTTTAATTCATGTGGGAACCGTCGATCTGCCCTATACAAACGAAATGTATATACCTACTCGACATAACATAACATTGAAATACCTTGACATTGTATAATTTTATTATTGACATCCTAAATTCGACAGCAATTATACCGATTGAATTGATTATTACTATGATGTGACATATACCTGACAATTATTATTATTTTTTTTTCTTTTCTTTATGATTTGTAATATCTACCTACAATGTTAATAACAATGAATGTGTACCTACATAACTAAAAATGTTGCAATGTCTGTAAGAGGCCGCTAAGTATTAAGCACTGTAATAATTTTATAACCACCATCTGTACACTTAGTTGCAATAAACGCTTTGACTTTGACTTTGACTTTGCGAGTGTGTGCGTGAGTGTGTGGATGTGTTTTTTACTGATTCACGCAAAAACTACTGACCGGAATTAGATGAAACTTCAAAGTGATGTACGTCATACGTCAGAATAATATATATACTACAATATGTAATGACTTTATGTTATTTAGGACATAATATAACACAAAATGTTAGCCAAGTCGGGCCTATGAGACCTATCTGGGCGTACGCTGCCTACACCATAGATAGGACTTACACTAAGATAATGTACTGTAAGACTGTTTGTTTTGATTAGTTCTAAATAATAGTCCGTGACGGTATATTTCTATGTATATATCTATCCTTTATGTGGAAGTCACTATACCGATTTTTAAGCATATGAATTACGATTTATCTAGGCTCCTAGGCAAATGACAACCGTGCCAAATCAAATATAATTTCACAATCGCATCTATATCACTAGCCAAGTTGATATAGCACCGTCGATCGCTTATTCGATGACGGCGTTGGAAAAAAGTTATATTTTAACCTTTGATTATATAATGTCTAGTTATAGCGTCACCATACAATAGCAACAAAAGTGACGTCAAAAGTCTTTGAATTAGAGATGTTTCTGGAAACATCTAAGTTTGATATAATTTGTTTATCCGAACATTAGTTAAAAGAGGACCAACTAATTAAATTTAGATAATTGCAATGTAGTTAGGAATTTCAGTAGAAACCGTATGTTACATTTTCAACATAAATTAAAAATTGTATTAAATCAAAAAGAAGGAAAGATATTGCAGCACTGCCAGTTGAACACACCGTTGAGTTGTCCTGTGTTGGGCTGGATAGACATGTTGTTTGTGTATATAGGCCACCTAATTATCAGAATCTTGTAGTATTTGATTCTGTAATGGACGATGTTTTAAGGAAGGCTTGTTCTAGTCACAAATGTCGGAACGGTCATTAGTACGGGATTTTGATTTACTACAAAACAAAGGAATAACAACAAAACGAATAAAGATAGCGCACTTCAACAGTTAATTGTGACGTCGTGTCCGTATATGAGTGAGATTGAGTGACTTTCAACATCGCACGACAGCAGGCACTCTTGGCTTTGGCTTGGACTCCCAACGAGCAACGACGTACTAAGAATACTGTCGGCCGAATAGTGATTGCAATCATTGGAATCAGTGCTGTGAAATTGTCATTGAGATTATAACAGAGAATATTATTACAATGATGATTAAATACTCACTTTGATGTATTTTCACCATTTTTGAACTTTGAAAGTGACTGAGACCTCTGAGTTTGTTTCGGCGTTTCTTCTCAGAATAGAACGTAGGAAATGCCGGCTTAATTAAAATGTAAACAAGAAAAGGTGCACTGTCGAAAGTAAATATTGCTTTTTTACGAAGACTCAATTGTTTTATTACTGCATAAACATACCTCTACCGATATATGTGACAAAGAGGGCTCTCGCTCAACATCGCCCACATCATTCACCGACACAAAATAGTAATTATATGTGGCGATTTTAATATTAAACTTATGCCACTTTACAAACTTATTAGAAAATATAATACAACCAGCATGGAAATCTATAATTAAAAAAAAAATTGTAGAACAAACTAGAATAACATCCTCTACCGCCACCTGCATTGATAATGTCTTCTGTAGGTAATTGTAAATACAAAGAAAAACATTATAAGTTGCTTGCCATCCGACCACTATGGACTAATGGTTGCGTTTAGCTCTTATTTGCCTCTACCAAAAATTAGGAATTAAGGAATCCAACAATGTTTTGCCAGTAAAAAATACATTTGACACGGGATAATTTTTACCCCATACTAGGATTTTATCCTGTTTCGTAGGTGCGTTTAGAAACATACAAGTTCACATCCATATGACACCCAGAACCGAAACAATAATTTATAAATTACACAAAGAGTTGCTACGTGCGGGAATCGAACCCACTAGGTACACGTTGCCCGGCAGCCAGTTTCCCAATCACCGAGTCCGCCATGTGACGAACTATACCTACAATTATATAAAAATTAATCCCTTTTTCTCTTGGTCACGGCATCACTAATTCTTTTTTTGTTGTATTTGTTATTATTAGGAGAAGGGTCTTAAAAAAATCCTGAAAATCCTACGGGAACTGGAGAAAACGGCATTGCGCGTTCGAAGTCGCGGGCAGAACCTAATAGTCAATAAAATAAGACCATGTGTAGGTACTAAATCCCTTGCTTCCACGGATGTTTTGGTGAGACGCGATCGAGACACGTATAAATGCGCACTGCCTCGCTTCTATAGCGGCTGTCCGCCGAAACCGCGCTCCACTCAATCACACATACGCGCACTCGAAGAAAACAATACATAAAATCTTTTTCAGTTAACTGAAAATCTTCATAAAATCAACTATGAATAACCCCGCTTTGTTCGAGCAAACTAACTTCGTCTCGAAGAGGGATGCACTCAACTTTTTAGACGACATCTCCCCTAAACTAAAGTGGAAGAAGAGTATCAGCAACGTTCTGGACATTGGATCTGGAGATGGAAGTGTCACCAGCATGCTGAAGAAGTACATCCCGACTGACTTCAAGCTGCTCGGCAGTGACATCAGCGAGAAGATGGTGAACTTCGCCAATGACCACCATTCCAATGAACAGACCTCGTTTACAGTGCTGGACATCGCAGGAAATATTCCCGAAGACATGAAGGGAAAATTCGACCATGTTTTTTCCTCCTACGCCTTGCACTGGGTCTCGGATCAAGAGTAAGTTAATATTGTTTAATTATTTTCTCTAAAATCTCTTTGATGTAGGTATTTCGACAATTTATCTTATGTTTGTGACCGTGTTTATGCGTTTTTATTTGATGCTAAGACTGATTTTTTTAACGCCACATAAATGTCGGAGTAATAATTTTAAATATTTGACACTTCTTCACTACTAAAACTATCAAATGTCAATTCTATTCAACAGCTATGTATTGCAAAATCGGCAATATTTAACACACTTCCTTCTTTTGTTTAATAAATAAAAACACGTATGAAAAAACACAATGACGTGATAATAACTATTATAACGCATAAATGTTACTATTAAACGTAATTGCTAGCAATTTTAAAGAATAATTTAACTTAGCATAGTGGGAATTCTGTCCATATCTTATTCGACTTGCAATGAATAAATTTATGGCGTATTCACTCTGCTGCAGTAGTGAGATCATTATAAAACTTTGTATTTTCCTTTATAAAGCGTAAACAGACCGACATATGTAGTGCCACGAGACTTGATAGGAATCCATTTTTTTATAATTATTTTATAACGCTATGGAAATCCTCATTAACTTCTCACACTATGGGGTAACAGGGGGTGTGCCGGACTCATACCGACTAGAACCACCGTGGTGTTCCTTCTTTGCCTGAGGCCATGACCCGGGATGCCCTTGCGGTATCATCGCACCCGGCAGGCCTCGATCTACCACTATATTATATACACCACGAAGCAGCCCTTGCAGGCGGAAGGAATCCAAGAGGAGTTAAATATGATTAACATGCGGACACTATAGTTTAATGGGTCTATGCGACTACCCTTTGAGTACCGTCATTATAGACACAATGAGAGAACAATAGATGTGCGGACACCGGTGTCCTCGCGGTGTTTGACAGTTTAAACAAATAAAAATAAAACTTTATTAACAATAACAAAAATGCGATATTCAAAAACATATCTTAAATATGTACAATTGATCTCACCTAGTTAGATGCTTGCACTAGGACAATCCTGTATCGCAGGCGAGAGGAGCTCTAAATATAATTCACAAAAACCTATCATTATGCAACCGAAGACGATATACATATTATGATTATTTTAATGTACATACATACAAATATACGTACATAAAATACATAATTTAACCTCATACCTCACACAACTACCTAATAAATATACATTGTAATTGAAATTGAGTTACAATGCAAAATTATCACAATTGCCGAGGAATTATATGCATCAGCAGAAACATATACTTGGCTAAAGTCCATACGGTCATTTACTTGGTTCTTTATTGCACAATAATGATTGTGCTTATTCAGCAACAGGGCGATGAATAATCATACGTTTGTCTATTGTATAGTCGTTGTGCAAGGAAAGGCTATTCAAATCGGAAGTGTGACCTAGACTAGGGTATGACCCCCTTTTTTTTAAGGGGGGAAAATCATCGAATCACTGCTCCCGCCTGGGTGAGGCGGGAGGGAGTGTCAGACTCTTACTGACTAAAAACCACCCCGTTCCTTCTCCAGCACGTCGAGCCGGAGCCCCGGTTACCCGTTAGGTTCTCCGCGACTCCGAATCGGCATCGGCCCTATATGGGCCCCATCTGTGGTGGTCTGATGGCTCTTTGAGGCGCGCGCGGAACGCTATGCGCCGTACTGTTCTGGTCGGCTCTGTTTCTGGTCGGACGGGGAGCCACCCATGCTCGCCGTCCGCAGGCCCGCGCTTACGGTGGCCGGAGATCGTCCCGCGATCCCCGACGCCCGGTGTGTCCTTCTGGCTGGGTTGCGAGGAGGCAGCGCTTCGCTACCTTGCGCGTCCCGCCTCCTCCTTAGCTAGCATGACTGCTTCGCAAAAGGAGGAGACAGCATCCCAGTCCCCCTCGCTCCGCATCATGGCCTGCACTAGGCCCGCCTGCACCTGCATCATGGCCGGCACTAGGCCTGCACTGCCTCTTATTCCTCGAAAGTTTGGGCAAAGGTATAAAATTACATTTATATTGAACTCCAACTTTTGAAAGTTATATTAAGTCACATGTACCTAATACTAGACTAAAAATTTAAATAAGAATTCAATACTTTTGGAAAATGAAAAATACATTTGTCGTTTTGTGTTATTAAACCTGAGATCCCTTATGGAACCTGAGATCAGTTACAACTGCAACCATTATCATGACCCATCAGCCTCTATACTGAATTGCCAATCAAGTCTCAGAAGTTACCCATGTGTATTACCATTACATTTTTACTGTTTCAGGCGCGCATTCAGAAATATTTACGATTTGCTGAGTAGAGATGGAGAATGCTTCACGATATTCATCGCAAACGCACCCCTGTTTGACTTGTACCGCATTTTATCGCGTAACACTAAATGGAGCACTCTGCTTAAAGATGCTGAGAAATACATATCGCCATATCACGACTCACAGGTAACTAAATATTAGTCTCAGTTTTTTAGTTAGTATCAAGTCCAAAATAAGGCCAACTGCAGAACACTCTTAACTGGCAACCTTGTATGACTATGAATATGATACGGGCTAAAAATGTATACCCTCGTAGTAGATAGAACCCTTTCCATCTTTATGAAAAAAAAAATAGAAATGTATTGTTATTATTTATGAAAATCAAGTGAAGTATGTTTGCATGTAATTTTGAAAACGTACAAAATAGTTACGTTTGTTTTTAAACTTTTCCTCAGACGATACTTTGTCAAATACTTAATAGTCTGATTCATGAATATCATCAGGCTTATTGACGTTTTAAATAACATGTTTACCTGTTCCTTTATATCCAGTATTTTATTCGAGACTGTTTATCAAAAATAGATTATGTGCCTTTACCTACTAATTAAATCATAAATAACTATATTTCTCTTTTTAGGATCCAGTGAAAGATATGAGGAAAATATTGGAAAAAGTTGGATACGTGGACTACGAGGTGAAATGCAAAAACTTGTCGTATATTTTCAATAACTTTGGCACTTATTGGAGTTAGTATTGATTTTATTTGTTCAAATTTAGTTTAAGCTCACGTTCCTAAGGTCATAGTGAAATTGGTTCTCTAGGTTCCTATTGCCATTCAAATAATGATGTATTATTACATTACCGAAAAGGACAATGCCAGGTGCCCACTACATTTTCTCAGTGGATGGAGTCTGGAACTGTGCCCGGATATGGCAATAGGCTCACCCCCTATTACATGGGACTCTATATCTATGCATATATATACTAGTCGGAAATGTATATCGATTGATACATTTGGAATTCTCACGTTAGCCAAAAATTGCCCCACAAATTAAAATTCCAGATTTGTGTACTTATTTGCAATTATTAATCAATCCTAATTATTTAATTAATTATCTGGTTAATCTAATTTAATAATTTTATATGATATAAATTTAATGATTTAATTTGATTAGATTTGAAATGATTTGATTATTTAATCTACACCAATAGTATAAAGAGGAAAGAATTGATCTTTTGTTTGTTTGTTTGAATTGAAGAGGCTTCGAAACTACCGGACCGATTTCAAAATTTCTTTTACCGTTGGAATCCTACATTATCGATGATGATCATAGGCTATCGATGATAATAAGAGAGAAAAATAGAACCATTTAAAAATTTCGATAATGTAACCCGATGTGTGAAAAGGAGGTATTCCTCGTAGCGCTCCCGTTTTGAAGTGCACCCATCTAAGCGCTCCCGTTTTATTAAAAATATTAAAATTTATTTCCTCAAACCGCTCCCATGATTAGCTTTCGGATAGAGATAGAACTTTACTAATTGAAATTATTGATAAGAACTAGGTAATAAGTAGAACACATTGTTATAATATACAACTAGCGGCCCGTCCCGGCTTCCCACGGCTTTGGTAATTATTATTTTTTTGTTTTATTGTAATTGGGAGCGCTTAGAGGAATAAACGGCCCATCTAAGCGGGCGCGCTTCAAAACGGGAGCGCTACGAGGAACACATCGTGAAAAGTCTAGAAAAAGACTCCTTATGTTGCTTAAACCGTTGACTGCCAATAGGAAACTGTTTTCAAGGACTAATAATAGTATTTAGCTGCATCAGAGTTTGGGATTTTAAGGAAAAATATGAATTCAATTAACTGAATACATTTTATTCATGGACTCGGTTTCGCTCGCACTCTTTTAAAGTATTAAGGGCAGGTGTACAAAACATAAAAAACGATTGGTACACGATGTTTTGCCGGTAACAAATATAATATTAATTTTAGTTTTCTTGAAAATTAATCCTTTAAACTACCTTCACTCAACAAAAAATCAGGTCAATTACTAACAAAACAAACAGACACACAAAATTCATAATATTATGTATACATTTCTATATACGTGTTAGACATATTTTTAATAAATGAGTTTCATGCCTGTATCACTGCCAATTTATATATTTTACTAGCGGCCCGTCCCAGCTTCGCACGGGAGGACTTAAGATTTTGTACATAGTTTTACGTTTTATTTATATTTATTCTCAGTTTATTATTTTTGAAATAGTAGGTAAGTACTTACCTAATAGGTATCTTTTGGATGAATTAATAGTCTTAAGGTAACCGATTGAACAATTCAAAAGTTATCTAGAGCAAACTTTTATAAGGATTGAACCATTCATTAAAACGATTGTTATGGGTAAACTATAAAAGGTAGACATATGTTCTCGCGGACTTTTTTAAAAATAATGTTAAAATGAACAATTCATCTATAGAGCATTTTTGTATAACTTTAACTATATGCTCAGCGCACGCCACGGAAGGCCTCAGAAACGATACTTTTCCCCCGTTTTTAAATCATTTTTGGTTACTGCTCCACAACTATAGGACCTAGCGTGATATTATATATCCTATGTTACTTCTGAATAATGCAGCTTTCTAATGGTGAAAAAATTATTGCAATCAGTCCAGTAGTTTTTGAGTTTATTCATTACAAACATACAAAAATACAAATCTTTCCTCTTTATAATATTAGTATAATATTTTATTATCATGATATACACTTAAGGATCGTTGGAGATTCAGGAATTGAAGAGTTTGGGGAAGGGGAGGGTAATTGGGCCTCCGGTAACCTCACTCACACGACGAAACACAACGCAAGCGTTGCTTCACGTCGGTTTTCTGTGAGGCCGTGGTATTATTCCGGTCGAGCCGGCCCATTCGTGCCGAAGCATGGCTCTACAACACTTTTTAAATAATCCAAACTTTTGGCAGAAGTCATTACTATACGTGTAGTAATATTTTGACTAAGTAATGTTTTGAAGCAATCTTCAACATTTAGAAATAAATCGTACAAAAACAAAAGTAAGTAAATGTTGGGAACAAGTAAACGAATATATAGTGGATATAAATGCTTGGATGCAGGCTAGTCCGGCTCCACACGATAACAAAAAACACTGATGTTTTAATGAAATCGTAAATAATACAGCCATATTGCTAAATTGTATATTGTTTAACTTAGATAATCATTGTAAATGTGAGAGCCCTGTAATTAACTTAATATTAAATTAGACTGGTAGAATCCATTTGTGTCAGCTTGGAGTTGTCATGCTCACTCAAAGGTCTCATTGGCGGTGGCACGTGCAGTGGATCGCTCGATTCCCTACAATATGGTTGAGTTGGGCGGTGCTGGTGTACGTGTCATGTTCGTGAACGGGCGCCGTCAACTGGGAGTGGTCAGATCCAGATTGTATTATTTATTGTCTTTAAGGTTATTTTCTTTTCGATAACTTTGACTGGATTTTAGTTTTACATTGTTCTCGCACAATCCAAACAGCAAAACTATGTAACTGAAGAATTATATTGTGAACCTGATTGAAAAAGAGTAACCTATGGAGTTTCTTGCTCGTTCTTCTCCATAGGAATCTATACCTTGGAATGAGCAAATAGGTTCACTTTTATTTTTTTTTGTTGAGTTTCAAAAGTGCCTTTCTGGTCTAATTAAAATAAATGATTTTGACTTTGACTTTGAATACCTTAAACTAAAAAGTTTAACCAGATTGACCAGCACGCCCCAACATAAATTACACTCTTTTATGGGTTCTCTGTTCAACAAGAATTTACTTTACATCGACCGATGTGACATGATTTACAGTCTCTACGTCATCAATACATTGACGTCCAAATATATTGTTTGTTTTGCAGAAGGCTTTCAAGCAGTCAGCCCATTCAACATCCCGAAGGATATGGAAGAAGATTTCAAGCAAGATTACTTAAATGTTTTAAAAGATATGAATATTGTGCCCAAGTATAATACCGATGAAGCCAGTTTTAACTATAAACATCGGTTGCTATTCGTTCATGCTCGCAAGCCGGCCTCAGAATTTTAGGGAAAAACAAATCAACAAACAGTAGTTTTTAAACAGGTTATTTTGTTAATAAATTTGTTTTAGATTTTAATTTGTTGAATATATTTATAATTTTTAGTTTTAAGATGTAAGAGGTTAAGGCAATATTCGATATCAGTTTGAGATTGCTTCATGTTCTGTTCAGGGAATAAACTAATCATGATCACATGCTTACAAAACTATTTGCGATGTTGGACCTACTTACTGTATTTGCGATGTTATTATTTATTGTATTCCATATTAGAAAATTTGATATTAATGTAATAAATAATTATTATTTTATAATGATTTATTTTGATTTACCCAAACTACTACCTATATACATCATGTGTCACCCTTAGTATGTCGTGGAGGGCAAATAAATATCATTTCGCTCTATGTAAAAACTAACTTTCAACCACATTTGATTAAGATTCAGAACTGGAGATCAAAAGTAATAGAGAAAAATCCAGAGCTAGTTATAAATTCAAATTGTTTCACAATATTTCGTACGATCCTCTAACGATCATACAAATAAATAAAAACAATAATTGGTCTGGAAACACCTAAATTGGCTGTCATAATGATGCAAAGAGTATAGGGGTAATAACGTAAAATTATAATGAATTATTTTCCTTAATAATTGAAAATATCATTTACAGGGAGAAAAGTGTAGAAAAAAAGAAAAGGACTTAAATAAAAAATCTACCAAGATGAGTCAGAGTCAGCGGAAAAAATCAATACGTGAAGTACGTATCAAACAAATTTAGTAGTGACACTTATTTTTTTTTATTTATTTTTTAAAAAAAAAACGTTGCCCCACATTAGGATTTTCTCCTGTGTCGTGGGTGCGTTTACAAACATACAAGTTCACATACACAATGACACCCAGACCCGAAATAACAATTTCTGGATCACACAAAGTGTTGTTCCGTGCGGGAATCGAACCCGCGACACGTTGCACGGCAGCCGGTTGTCCGGCCACCGCACCAACCGTGCAGTCTAAGCAATATTTTATGGTAGTTCATTTCCACAAAACGTCATGAATTGATTTCAAAGACAAACATGAAGGCATTCAAGCGCCGATTTCGACGCAGACACCATGGCTTGTCCGCGCAAATTTTCTTACTCATATTATAGTTTCTTGGTAACTAACTCTTACTGCTTCATCTACCTCTTCACTGTATTGTGTAAACTGTTAATAAACATAAATTGTTGTTGAATATATTAAGTAAGATGCTATTAATAACAGAATTGAGAACCACATGTGATTTTAGTTAAGTTTGCAAATTTTGTTAAGACTACTATTTTTCCCTTGGGTCACGCGTTCAAAACTGAGGATAACAGCTTATATTGCATAGAAATATATATCATTATTTATCATTGATTTTCCAATCCAGGACCGCGTCTATTCTCTCTCAATACAGGGTAAAAATGCTGCAAAAAGCCCTTAACGCACCAGCACCACCAAATGACACGTTGTACTTGAAAATAAAGAGCCTTCGAACATCAGACCTGGAGCCTAAGTATTTTGCCATCAAAGTGACATTCTTTGATTATTTATTTATTAGTGCACGCCATCATCAAGTCTATTGGCCTGAAAGATGAGGAACTAACTGATTTTATAGCTAATGGCACTTTCGCATATGATCCATCAGATTATGAGTAAATGTGCCTGTTTGCTGATTATCTCCTTGTCGGTATGTCATAGCAATTTACTATAGTATATGTTTGCTGTCAAATATCTGTAATGTCTCCATTGGTGAGAAATAACATAATCTTTTCCCCTTTTTATATTTTGCTAGTATTTTTTTTTCTTTATAAAAAACATATTTCCAAAATAATAACATTTGTTTTTTGCACAACGGCCCTTTTGATTAAAGTTTTCGTTTGTTTAGTACATTTTCATTCTTAATTAAGTAATGTATGGATATTTCGATTCAGAAAATCTTACTTGTAACTCAAATTGTAATTCAGGGAATATACCTACTGATGTATCTTTATGTAATTTTTCAGAACAAGTGGAACCGCTTAGAAGTTTTGATGTTAGTAAAGTGTCAGCTGCATGGACTTTGGCAACTTTATTAAAATAATATCTCACACTTTAAGCATCAGCTGATGCAATATCCATATCTTATCAATTTTTATTGGTTCAAACGGTACGGCTAACTAAACATTACTTTCAAGTTTTCACCTACCATATATTACCTAACCATATTACTTCAAATGACTTTGTCAGTTCTGTTTACAATAAAAACAATTTTTTCTATCCGTACAATCTATTCTTAATTATCATCAAATAGAAAACGTCCAAAGCTGCTCTCAACCTCCCTTAGGTATTAATTAACACATTAAACGCCATGTGGGTCCCCGGTGACCGACGTTAGTGGAGGATTGCCTTCAACCGTTTTCTATTGGCAGTCAAAACCTTAACACTTAAAGTTCTATAATAATTATACCCGGAAATAAAACTAAGTTTTAACTGTCATTATTAGTTTTAGAAGAGCAAAAGATGTGCATAAGGAAACGTTTGGAGCCGATGGTGTCACCAGTAACCTTAAATGCGAAGAGTTGGGATACACTCCCTCTTCTGACGATGGAATTGGTCTTAGAGCGAGATCCTCTTAACAAGGCACACCAAATGATGCTGCAGAATGTCAACTGGCTGAAAATTACTCTCATCGGCTCCTACAACATGTTCATACCGTTTACGTGATTTTTTTACCGAAGGTAGTTGAAGGGATTGATAGTCACATAGGCTACATTTTACATACACAAAATACAAGATGTAGTTTTGAAACGTGGCATTTCTCGGAGGCATGTCACAGAAGTCATAAAGGTACAACGTAAAAAAAATCTTCGGGCCAATAGTTAAAAATACGGCTATAATAAATCGTTTAAGTTCGACAGTATTTCAGAATAAGCGACAGCAATGTTTCTTATTGGAGTTTTATGGAATTAGGAATAATATCAATTACGTGTTTGAGTTTCTGTATGTTAAGCCGCGTTATAAAACTAGTCACAAGATGGTGGCGTGTAGTTCGCACTTACGGATTTCGGTAATTTACAGAAAATGAAAAATATTTACCTACAATTTTTTTACTGATTCGGACTCAGAATCCTTAGTCGAGTTACTTCCTAGAAAATAACGCGGCTTTAAAACAACACCTTGTATAACCGATAAATAATGTATTGAATAAATAGATCTCAATAAAATACATAGATAGACGATAGATACACATCAAATATTACATATATGAGAGTAGATTACAAATAAACATACATATTATACATAGGTCTATATATGACACTAATTTGCACAAGATGAGGAGAGGAAAGGTAATGCTCCCTTACGAGTCTTTTAAAGCTTGGGATGGATTTAGAGTCATGGATGTTAGGTAGTAGGGAATTCCAAAGTCGCACCGCATGAACAGTGAAGGAATAGGAGTAAAAGTATTTTCTATTGTGTGAGACTACAGAAAGTTTAGATTTAAGATAAGATCGGGAAAGAGCCTCAGGAGGGTGGGCAAAAGAAAAACGTTAGCGAAGGTACATAAGAGGGATAATCAGGATTGAAAAGTATATTGAAACGAAGACATAAGACGCGAGTGTTCCTGTGAAGTCGGATTGGGAGCCAATTGGGCCCTTTGCGAAATTCTTTTTATGATATTTAGATGAAACTTCACAGTAATGTAGGGCATACATCAGAATAACATATAGGCTACAATTAATGTTATTTTGGGCGTAATATATTCAGTCAAAAAAGTATCGGGAATGGATGATTTGTTTATGGTTCCAAACTCAAATTTTACCTCTAGATTTTTTGTAGTTGTTAGATTGGCACAATTGTTTTCCATTTTGGCGCGGAGTTTGAGTTACAACTGTTATTTATATTAAATACAGTGCTGGTTTTAGTAATATCATAATTATATAGTGTGTATTTGCTGACGATATGAAAACGTTTCGAAAACACGTGCATGCTCCAAAAAGTTTTCAGAAAGGCCTAACTCTGCCATTTTTATTAATTTATTAAAAATATAAACTAGATGAATTGTAAAATGTTGCCCTTGAGTGACATTTGACAAATCTGCTTATTTGACACATAGGAATTCACTCTTTGCAAACCATTTTACGAATTTCCATTCAAAAGTGTCATATTAGATGAATTGTAAATATGAAACACTTGACGTTCATGTTATTTTATGAAATAATAAAATGTTGCCTTTTTATGACATGACAAATGTCACATAATATGATTCAGTTATGAAACATACAATGTTACCTTTTTAAGCCCCCTGTTCTTTTAATTTGGCCCTAATAGATAAAGTGACCTGACCATATTTTATCAAATAAGGTGGTCAAAGCTATATCAAAACTACAAATAATTATTAATAATACTCATCATTGTAATGACCATTTTATCAATTTGACCTTAATAGATAACAGATGATATGTGAGAATTAAAAAGATATAGGAAAAAACATATTTGTTTATCTCGCGATATGTTTTGGCACCGTGTCAGAAAAGGCGCTCGTATGCGCAACTTTATTTTTCCTTCTTATGTAAACTAATGTCTAAAGATATATAAGAATACAACAAATACATATATCTCGACATTGGCAAGCAGCGGCAATGGGTAAGTCTCGATAAAAAAGTAACCCAAAAATTATATTATCTTAAACTATACTTTTTTTCGACATCATCATGTATTAAATAAAAACTTAAATAAAATAAAAGTACATTGGTTACTATTAAATTATTTATTTATTTATTATACATAATGTTATTTAAGAACCGATATGAGGAGATTATAAGCATTTCAAAACTGAATCATACTTATACATTTATATCAAAAACTTTCAAGTAATGTGGCATTGAATTGTAGTAATGTATTGTGCCAAAATCACATCATTGAACATGAGTTAGCTTTGATGCATTTTTTTATTTGCATTATGGTGAGCAAATATAATTAAAAAAATATAGAAAAGAAAGCTTATTTATAAAACTAATTTAATTAATTAGTTTTACTCCATAACAACGACTTTCACGTGAAACTTGTATGGGGAAGCCCCATACAAGGCCGTCTCAAAACGACTTTGTATGGGGCTTCCCCATAGTGCGATGCCGTGCCATATGTGACAGTGTTGAGCGTATATGTTTGCAGAGGTTCCGTAGGATTGTATCGCCATATGATTAGTTGTAGTGGGCGCTGATGTTTCACCATTGTTATTTGGCGAAACATTTTTTCAATATCCGCTGATATTATGTAGGTACTTATGTTGACGAAATCGTATGAGTATGGAAATAAGATCATCTTGTACGACAGGTCCTACTAACTGAATGTCGTTGAGTGCTAGCTTTGAGGATGTTTTTGCGGAACCATCGAATACTGCTCTGAAGTTTGTAGTTGTGCTTGACTCGCGTATAATATCGTGATGTGGAAGATAATATACTGGTGAATGCTGTATGTTTGTTTTAGTGCTGTTTGCACTTGACTGTATAATTGATGTTCTGATTGAATGTATGTTTTTTTATGTGAATGTTTGTTTAAAGTCATGTAGCCTAGTTGTATGTACTCTGTTATCAATTTTGAGTACTGTTGTTTATATATATGTGAGATTTGAATTCATGCGGTTTTCTATTGCTTAAAACCGTTTTTGCTTGATAGTATGACCTCATCGTTCGCTTGATAAAATGACGTGTAAAAGTGCTGCCTTGAAGCCTATTTGCAGAATTAAATTCACTTGTTTCACTATAAGTCACCCAAGCAATCAAGTGATTTTTTAAATGGAATTTTAACAACAAGTCTGCCATCAGTTTGTCTCGTGTTTGTTTGAGTAAAAATTATCTCGGATGCATCTGAGTCCGAGGGATCCTTTCTTTGTGATTTAGGTAAACTATCCAGCTCCCAAAAGCGTGATACCTGATCTGAGTTGTTGTTATTGAAAAAACAACTGTTTGCTTGCTTGTTGGTGTTTGTTGTGCAACCTGAAACTAGCCAGCCTAATTCTGTTTCTTGTAAAGTAGGCTGGCTAGTTTCAGGAGTTTCTTGTAATATAGGCTGTTGTTTACCTAATTGAATATGACATGTGGCAGGTTGTTTCATTTTCACGCAGCAGATGGATGCCGAGCGCAAGTTGATATTGGTATTCCATTTCGAAGTGTTCTCGCTCCCTCAGCTGTGCATCTGAAACCCGGGTAATGTCGTCGATGAGGGTTTGATTTTTATCGAACTCGTTTGCAAGGAACCTGTAGGACTCTAATCAATTGCTTTCCTGTATAATATCCAAATCAGACAAAGGATTTTTATAATGACTCAAGATAATTTTTAAATACCGTGACCTTTCCTTTATGAGTGGATCTCCTGTTTTTGTATGAATATTCATCGGGCTTATTTAAAGTTTGAGCTGATTTAGAATCAGTCATAATTGAAATTTAATTAAAGTAATGTACCTAATTAAAATGTTACTTAAATTGGGAATGTGGCAGGCACGGCCACCAACCCTACCAAATTACGCTCGGTGTGATATAACTCGGTACGGTGATGTGAACTGTATATATTAGGTGTTGTACAATGGTCTAAAGTTATAACAAAAGCATGCCATCATGGTCGCGTTGTTGTAAAGAGCGTTGAGGGCGCGCGGGCCATCGCCGAGCCGTCGCGTTACCAAGCTGCGCACTCCTCTCTCTTGATGATGCATGTGTTCATCAGAGGTGTTAGCATGTGCGTTAACACGATCGAAACACGTATAAATGCGCACTGCCTCGCTTCTGTAGCGGCTGTCCGCCGAAACCGCGCTACACTCAACCACGCGTACGCACACCCGAAAAAAACAATACAAAAAATCTTATCAAGTTAACTGAATATCTTCAAAAAATCAACTATGAATAACCCCGCTTTGTACGAGCAAGTTAACAGCCTGCCGATGAGAGATGTACGCAACATTTTAGACGACATCTCCCCTAAACTAAAGTGGAAGAAGAATATCAGTAACATTCTGGACATTGGATGTGGAGATGGAGGTGTCACAAGCATGCTGAAGAAGTACATCCCTACTGACTTCAAGCTGCTCGGGTGTGACATCAGTGAGGAGATGGTGAACTTCGCCAATGACCATCATTGCAATGAACAGACCTCATTCACAGTGCTGGACATCGCAGGAGATATTCCTGAAGACATGAAGGGAAAATTCGACCATGTTTTCTCCTTCTACACCTTGCACCGGATCTTTGATCAAGAGTAAGTCAATATTGTTTAATTATTTTCTCTAAAATTTCTTTATCGGGGTAATAATTTTAAATATTTGACTAAAAACTATCGAGTGTCAATTTTATTCTACAGATAGGAATTATCTGATTAAAAAATCTGCAATAGAAAATGCACTTCCTTCTTTTGTTTAATAAATAAAAACATGTAAAAAGGGTTGACATGACATGATAATAATTGAGACTTGATAGGATTTTTTTTAACGCTATGGAAATCCTCATTGACTTCCCACACCGTGGACACGACAGGGGGTGTGCCGGACTCTTATGACTAAAACCACCGTCGTGTTCCTCCTTTTTCTGTGGACATAACCCGGGACGCCCTTGCGGAATCACCGCACCCGGCAGCCCTCGACCTACCACTATATGGCGGCAGGTCCCACCACGAAGCAGCCCTTACAGGCTGATTTCTTTTCTCGAGTGGCGCGCGTGGAACACAACGCTAACGCCTTCTCCCACCCATACAGCGGACGACTGACTCCCCTAATTAGTCGCCCGCAGACCTCTTCTATGGAGGTCTCTGCGACCTCGGTCGGCTACCACCTCGCGGCGTAGACGGCCGGCACGACTACGGCGGGAGGAATCCAATATGACTTAAATGTGATTAACATGCGGACACGATAGTTTAATGAGTCTTATGCGACTTAAGAATTATGCTTTAAGGCAATTATCTGACCACATAATGACAGCCATCCGTTGTAATATAGTTTGAAACTACAGTTCTGAATTATATGAAGCTATTATATTATTCAATCAAATACGGTTGAAATGAGACTTATTTATTATGCGTTTAACCGCATTACCATAATATATTTCCTCCTTCACGAGAAATTAGTGTAGAAAAACAAAAAAAAATAAACTGCTGATTACAATACTCACGCAAGTGTATAAAAATTTTCTTATCTATTATGTGTTTACATTTACACCAATCTACACTATGCAGTATATTTAGCGCTTGTCTACATGTAGAGTAGAAAACTAGGTTTTTAGCTGGCATTCGGAGTCTGCAGCGAACGGTGTGTGCTGATGTTCCGAACTCATCAGCAAAACGCCTTGTTGGGATGAAACCATTCGTCTCATAATCAGCTACCATATAACGTCGCCGAAGAAAAAGAGGTGGTTTTCCACTCCTATCACGACTCTTCAGACTATCTTCTTCTTCAAATCTCTTCACCCAAAGCCTAGTAGTCTCTCTCTAAAAATAAAAATATAAATATTACACACTTGCAAGAAGCAATTTATTTGTATTATTTTGTAGGTATCATCATAGAGTTAAAAAAATAATTACGCGTAAGCCGGTTTCATTCGGTATTTGAGATATATATAAACATAGGGCCACAATATTTGCCTTTGTTTCAATACTAGTATTAGCTGCATAATGAATACAAAAGAATAAAATGGCACCCAAAATATATAATAAAATCCCAAATACTATCAAGAATCTGAATTTGCCACAATTTAAACGGACACTTAACAATTTTCTAATTGATAAATGCTATACCATTGACGATTTCTTTCATGACAAAATGTAATAAACTGACAACTTTGTGTATAATTAATTATGAGAACTTGGGTAAATTGTTGTTTATTTAATGCTTGTATTAATTTATTTTGTTGCTAAATTTTGACATTTTATTTATGTTTAATTTTTGCTGATGATAAATATTTATTTAATATCTGTAATAATTTATATCTATTGTGACTAAATTTTGACATCTTATTAATTAGTATTATGTATTTATGTTTAAATTTTGATGATGATGAATATTTTTAAATAGTGTATGCCTAATAGGCAGCTTTTTGCGCTACTATAATAATAAATTTAAGACCCTTTTGTATCACCAAAAAGCACACGAACAAATACTTTAACTTTGACTTTGACTTTGAAAATCACAACACCAAGATAACACAAACACTCGGAGCTATGTTCACCAATCAACAACAGCGAATATCGGAATAATTTATGTTACTAGAAAAGTAGTTAAATAGGATAGGTGGATTTAAAGCGAACTTGTCGCCATGTTTCAAATTTACCCTCATAATTCGATAACGACGGTAAGATAAAAATATAGAAGATCCTAAGCGCCACTAATATTGCTATGCAAAATTTTGGAAGTCCACTTCTGTCATTGACCGTACATCCTTATCGGTGCAGCCAAGCGGATATAGTGTCATGTTTACACGTTATGTTTATAAGTATCAATTTTATCAGTAAACACTTCTGGGTATTCTTGTTTTAATTCAATCACGGGATCAACGACTTTAAGATTAAATAAATTTGATGATATTAATTAATTTAGTTCGCGCATCAGGGTGCGGCCATGGAAGTAATATATACTACGTACAACTTGTAAAAAGATTAATCTTTAAAGTTGTAAGTAGTACTTATTATTTCCATAGGTGCGGCCGATAACCGGAGGTCCACCGTGCTTGATAATAAACAATGTTAGTTCGGTATGCGGACAGTTTAACGGAACGAAACTATTGCGTCACCAATGTATTTGGTGTATTGTTATTAGTCTGTAACCTAACGAGTAACCGGGGCTCCGGCTCGACGTGCAGGAGAAGGAACGGGGTGGTTTTTAGTCAGTAAGAGTCTGACACTCCCTCCCGCCTCACCCAGACGGGAACAGTCATTCGATGATTTTCACACCTTAAAAAAAAAGCC